CACACACACACACACACACACACACACACACACACACACACACACACACACAGCTGAGTTCAGAGGACGTTATATTGACTTACACTGGAAATCTCGTATAACCTTAGCTGTAGCTTGCCTGAACCTAATCCCAACCTAAACCTATCCTGAAAACATCACTTTACTTTCAAATGTATTCATTGCATCATGAGGTCCCATTAAGTAGTTATGTCCCCATAATGTAAGTGGTGAAACAGATTAAGGTCCCCACAAAGTCAGTAAGACCCGCGTGAGCTGACTGGGATATTATTTATTATTGGAAAAATAAAAACACTCAAAAACATCATGGAAATAAAATAAAAGCTGCTCCTCCTCCTCTGACAAGCCAGAAGAGCACACAAAGAGACACACACACTCAGAGTGTAGCATAGTGGCTGTTAGCTGCATGTAGCTGGCAGTTAGCAGTTCATGAACAGAGGGGGTTAGTGTTAACATGGAGGGTGGATACACAGTACATTTAAGAGCTGTAAAATTATTAAAAGGCTATAACTTTGGGATTTAAGTGATGCTAAAGCACAGAACTATAAAAAAAATGTTAGGGAAAGGAAACTCATCACTAGGCTGAAAATCAAGTGGTTCTGGATTTTTGTGTTCAAAGCCTCAGTTCTAAGAAGAATCAGAGGTGACTGTGCTGTCAGGTTTCCCTGGAGCATACCTGCCGGTCACTGCAGGGTTTTTAGGCTTTAACCCCAATTAATTGTACAGTTTACTTTCACTGCAGCTCGAGACAAGAATGAAAACATTTAAAGACTTGTTTCGAGGCTCTAACAGTTACTTTTAGGAACCAAATCTGGTGCACATGTTGTACTGTGAATCCACGGTGCGTTAACAGTAGCAGACAGACGTTAGGACAAGCAGGCACTGAGAGGACAGCCCTGTGAGGCCCCTTATGTGGTTTAATTATCCATGGTTATATCCTCTGTTCCCAACCAACACCAAATGTGTCTCTTTAAACTTTTACAAGCCATCAGTAGACATTAACTTGGTAGGTGGGGGTAACCATGGCTACCGCTAGAGCTCCAAATTGTGTGAACAATAAAAAAACAAAACAAAAAAAACAAAACAAACCCCTCCCCCCCCCAAAAAGTTAATATTCTCTGTAGGCATTTCAATTTCAGCATAGTCCATGTTAGTCAATAATAAAATTGAGGGAGGGGCACATCCTACTTACAGAGCAGGTGACAGGGGTGTGGCCTCAGACAGGGTGGGGCAGGGCAGCGCAGCGGCGAGAGCCTAGCCGTAACGTAGCCTGGCCTTAGCCCAGTATAGCTTAAGCAAAGCTTTAGCCACAGTGCAGAATGGCCATGGCGCGGTAGTGTAGGCTCAAGGCTGCGCTAGTCCTCGCCAAGCTTCTGTAATGTCGCAGTAGCAGCAGCACAAGCACATGGAACAGGCTGAGACACTTAAAAGCATCATGAGTAGGGCAGGAAGGGGATGGGGGTGGGGGTCAAAGGTGAGAGGACAGAGCAAGGTGTCGGAGACAGCAACGTAAAGGGAAAAGGGTTATTTGAAGGTTTAGTAGACACACAGGAGGAGCTCTATTGTCCAAATATCCCAAAATCCCTCTTGGGTCATTTTCCCCCCAAAAACGTCAAACACTAGGCCACATGCTCAAGAAGCGTTAGTCTAAAAACAAAAGTGAAGCACGACAACTAACACTAGCATTACACATCTATTTTATGACCGTTTAAAAGCGCAGCAAGGAAATTATCTGTCCAAACAGACTGGGCTCTGTGTGCTCTGAATTCATCTTCTAGCTTTCCAAGTGTGAACCCTTAAGCAGAACAGCCATTTTCCAGCTATCCACAGGGATATTTGACGAACAAAGCACTTCAAAGGATGTGTGAGGTGCACTTGGGCAGCTGGACGTACTGACAGAGACGGACAGACAGATGAAGCAGACACAAGGACCACGGCGCTTTGCATTCTGTAGCAATCAAATCAACACCTTTAATAAAGCTTATAGATGTCAAACTGCAATACAATTTTATGAGGGGGCGAAAAATTCACAATTCACAAAATGTTCAATGTACAAATGCTACAAAACAGTTTGCAATCCAGGCATTAAAAAACACCGTAGAAATAAGTAAACATTTGTTTTAAAAAAATATGGCAACTCTGCAGAGAGGCCAGCAGCGAGAGAGGTAGAGATCGTCAAGCAAAAGCACAGTCTTAAAAACCCCCCCAAAAAAAGCTGCCTTAGTGAAGACCAAACTAAGACACAAGCTCTAAGACACAGTGATGTCTGACTCGACAGCAAGCGGCGAATAGCTCTAAGATTTGGTCAGTAACCTTGGTCGAAGGAGTCGTCAGAGGAGCTGAGGCCCGCTTCCTCCAGCAGTAGGGATAAGTGCTTGTGTTTCTTCTTCAGAGATTTCTCACTGGATAGCAGGGATGTCGGCGATGAAGTGGACCGCCTCTTCCTGGGCAGGCTGCCGTGGGAGCGCGTCCCTGAGAGAGGGGGCCAGCCCCCTCGAGCAGAAGTGTGCTCCTCTGAATCGGAGTCTGGTGTGGAGAGAGTGCGGTTAATCATTCATGAGGTCATGAGGATGGAAACAAAGACTCAGACACAAAGAGAGTTTCCGCTTGGTTTCAATATCACAGCCTCACAGAGATTAATGTTTTATTTTCTAAACTAATGCAGCAAAGCCCAGCATATCTGGAACTAGTCAGCCGCAGATAATCTAACTTTCTACACCATCTAACCAACGAGCATGTGTCAAGAAAATGGGGGAAAATGCAAGAAAGCAAATCATTGCCAGACAAAAAAAAGACAAGATTAGTGAGTGGCCAAGCAGGTCACCCAGAAACTGATCCACATGTGCACCTTTAAATTGCTCTCAGTGGTTCTGATGCACTTTATCTGTGGAAGTCTTGCACATGCAAATCTAATTCCCACCACTTCAGACCCAACTCCCATCTCTACAGCACTTTTCTGTGTGCTGAAGCAGTGACTGACAAATGTAAAATGACGTAAGTGGCATAAAACATGAGTATGTGCTGCACTTTTAATTTTCCAAGTCTAACCATGAATTATATAAAAAGTGACACTGTATCAGCATTAGCTAAAAGTAGGTCACTCTATAACTCAGGCTGTGTTGACAGTTGGGGAAAAGACACATGAAGCTACTTTTTGTCTCCAGGTACTCACTGTTAGAGCAGCTGCTGAGCTCTGATCTCATGGGAGAGAACAAAGCTGTCTTCTTCTGACCTTTCACTTTCCGGGCAGCGTCTGAAGCAGAAGCCTCGGAAGCCATCTTGTGTTTTCCTGCTTTCACCGAGGAGTGGATTCCTCTCTCCTTGAGTCGACTTTCCACAGACTTGCTCTTCGACTTCTCCGATTTCGTGCTGGAGGTGAATTTGCGTGATGCGCCGAGAGAGCCGAGCTGCGAGAGAGAGAGCGCTCTGTCGAGGTCTGACGCCAGCTGCTCCTGCTCACATAGGAGGCCGCGCTTTGCCTTTAGCACCTAAGACCATCACCATAGACTCATCATTAATTATACGAGACCAGTCTCATTACCCTACTGCCAAAAAAAAAAAATGCACTTCCAGGTAGCCTACCTCCAGCGGATGACTGGTAGATGGCTCCGTGTCATTCCAGCTCTTCTTCTTTTTCTTCTTTTTCACTTTCAAGCCTCCACTTCCTGCCTCTGTCTCCTCTTCTTCTCTGGACACCCGGAACTTCTTCCTTTGTCCTTCCCCTGCTTCAGAATCCTCCGAGTATTGCACCGCCCTACCCACCCTGGGACAGAAATATCCACCTTTGCTGAATATGCATATAGAAAAGCATGCATAAAGGAGAACAAACGGCAAAAGCCAGCAGCAGATTACATTTGTGGGTTCACTCACTTTCCAGGCCTGCTGTCCAGTTTGGTAGGTGTGGCCAAGTGTTTCCTCTTTCTAGGTCGCCCTCTACCCCGTCTGGTCAGACTGCGCCTCTCATCTTCCTGCAGCTGGCGCTCACTGACACAACAAAACAATTTTAAGCGTGTGTTAGTCCAGGAGCGGAGGCATGGAAGCATTTTTCGCACTTTTGTGATTATTTCGCGTAGTAGTGACTCTTACAGCAAGTGTGCAAGCAGTGTTAAAAAAAAAAATTACCGCTTGTCTCTGCGTCTCTGGAGCTTGCTGAGCTCTCTCTGCTTCTCTTTATAAGTCTTCTGCAGCTCAGCCAAGCGGACACGGAGTTCCACTTCCATTGTGTCCAACACATCCAGAGGCAGTTTACTGTACAGCTGCAAAGAGAGGCAACGAGGTGAGAAACATTTCCTAAACCGGCTCATTTTCAATTGTGGGCCACACGTTTCTTGAGCTTACCGGCTCCTCTTTCCTCAGCCGCCAGCTGTACTTCTTGTTGGGGTCCAGCGTTCTGGGCAGATCAATGTGGGATTGTTTCTCTATGGCCTCCAGAAGGATTTGTTTGCTTGCTTCAAGAAGACAGTCTAGACCCTCTAATGTCACATCTGGATGGGATGCAGAAAAAACTAAAATTAGAGGAGTTCATAAATATAAATAGCTGTTTATTACATCTGTTAGAAACTGCTTACCTTGCTCCTTATGGCTGTTTTCTAACTCTTGCTGAGCCATTTGGCTAAGCAGGGCCATCCCCTCCAGCGCCACCATCTCCATAGGTCCTGCAGTGCTGCAGCTTTCAATCTGTGGTATGAGTGTTGGGGCAGGTGGGGTGATGGATAGAGGATGGACGATCTCACTAGCTGTCAATAAGGCGAGCATCCCTGACATGGGATCTTCTGAACTGATGACAAGTGGAAGTGGAGAGGTAGGGGCAGGAAGTGGATAGAGAGGAGGATCAACCAGACTTTCTTTTGGACTCGGAGCATCCAAGATGACTGGACTGTCTGGCTGTTCCTGTTCACATGAAGCGCTGGTGGTTTGATCTAGTGATGCACATGTCTGAGACAGTTCTTGTCTGTCTGAATCTGTGCTGATGCACTCTGCATAATGTGTTTGGTCTGGATCCTTTATGACCTTGGATTTAGGTTCAGCTTCTGTGAGTGTAGGAGGCTCAGAATATGCTGTCAGACATGAGTAAGCTGAAACTTCTATTTTGATTTGACCTTCTTCCTTCTCTTCCTCCCTGATTTCCAGCCCTCTGGCTCGTTGTGGTGGAGGACTAGGGACATGCAGAGGTAACGGTTGAGGCTGTGGCTTTGGGGGTTCCCTGTCATCTTCATTGTCCTGGGTGACTTGGGCAGGACTACAGCTTTGCTGAAGAGGTCCGAGTGGCTCTGGTGTTATGTCAAGCTTTCCCTGCTCCACATCAGGTTCCTGTTTGAGGAAAGATGCCGACTTTGACTGCTCTAGCTTTTGAGGCATGATATCTGTGTCCAAAAGCCTTGAATGGAGATGGGCTGAGGGCAAAGGGGCAGCTAAAGCAGGAGAGCAGACACGACGGGGTGGGACAGCTTCTGCATTTTCCCCTGTGGGTGTTGGGATGTGATAAGGAGGAAAAGGTGAGCCAAATGGGGCCGTGATGGACTGGTAAGGATAACCTGGAGGGAGATCTGTCACAAAGGCAAACAAAAATATAAGTTAGAACTGCAAATTTGTCTGATATCAGGAGGTAGGTCTGATTAATTCATTGCTTAAGACACTTTATGTTTGGACTACTGTGAAAAAAAAAAGTCTTATGTATCCACTCTAGCTGACATGATGATGAAAAGCAAAGATGGCTGCATTATACACTTGTTAGGTTGCTCCAGACTCACCGGCGTACATGCTTTGAAAGGGTGCAGAGGTCGGTTTCTGCCCCTCTCTCTGTTCCCTCTGTCCCACCTCCCCCTCTTCAGACATCTCTTGTTTAGGCCGCCGTGGCGAGGAAGGGGGGGGAGACGCCGAACGGGGTGAAGGCGGGTGAGGCAGGGGCTTCGGCGGAGACAGTACTCTCTGCCCACCTTCCTCTGACTTCAGTGTGGTCACTGGAGAGGGGAGCCGAGGCAGCGGGGTTAGGGACGATGTCGACGGGGTTGGAGATCGAGAGGAAGGAGGTGGTTTGCGGGGATGCAGCACCGGTGAGGGAGACGGGGATGAAATTGAGGAGGGTCTGGGCTTTGAGTCAGTGTTACGCTTGTCTGCTTTGTCTTCCATCTCTGGCCGGTGCTCACTGGCCTTTAGGCGCTCCTACAACACAGGAGAGGAGATATTTCTGACAGACGCACGCACCGTGTGTGTATGATGTGACAGATTCAGGATATGAATTGTGGGATGTGCTTTGTTTAGACTTTCCTGGCTGTATTCTTTTGCAGCTGCAGGATATGGCTGTTTACTGATCTTTACTTTTTGGAAGCGCAATCAAAGCAGGGAACTAAAACCCTACTGCAAGCCAATCTAACATTGTTTTGCTGTGTTTATGCCTTTATGTCTACATACAGCTGGATTGTACAATGTGTAATATTCATGGAAATGTCTTTAAATATGTTGTTTGTTGACATGAAGGTGCTTAACAGCACAAAGTTCACTCACAGCTATCTGTGCATTCCTCTGTAGCTCCAGGACCTGCGCTGTGTGCTGCTGAATCATGAGTAGCTCGTGTTGTCGGAGGATTTGCTGCTGAGAGAGGAGCTGCAGCTGGGCCGCATGCTGCAAAGTGCTGGTTGTACCGTACACACCCGACCACACTGGGGCTCCACGCTCCAGTACATCACCACCTGCAGAACAGCAGCCAGAGCCATGAGGAGAAAGTAAAATTAAATGTCCATTCAAAGTTTCTGCTTTTTACAAAGCAGTTTTTTCCCCCACTTACAAAAATTTTTTTTTGGATATTCTTAATTTGATAGAGAATTATTGGAACTTGGGTTTGTTTACTACTGTGATACTCCACGTCCTTTTTGTAGCTTTTGGGCACTGAGGAAACCAGCTGATGTAGTTTTAATATAAAAACTGTTGCCTTGTTGCATTGCTATAACTACCCCATGCACATTAGGTGTTATTCAACTGTAAAGGAAAACGACTGAAACTGAGTTGAGTATGTACAAGGGGAAAAGAAGTACAATGCACTGCTACAGGATCACAGATACAGGGTTTAGGGTGGCTTATGGTCAAAGAATAGCCTCAGCTGATGGCAAATTATAAAATGAAGCCAGAGAAACATGAGTGATTTTCCATTTTCATTTGTTTACAGAAAGTACAAACAGTAACATCTGTCTGTATAAAAGTGGTACTCCTTTGTTTTTGCTCGAGAAAAACGGAAGCCAACTTGCACTGACACTTTTACAAAGACAACAGCTTTCCTACCATAGTGTGGCAGGTGTTCGGATGGGATGACGATTAGCTGTCCAGACTGCGGATCTCTGGCAAACTGGTAGGGAGGGGGCATCGAGCCTGGCAGAGAGGGTGGGTAGCCTGGGGGGAGGGTCTGGTGGAGTGAAGAGGGACCCAGGCCTGAATAGGAGGGGGGGAGAATAAAAGGGTGAAAAAAATGGAGGCAGAAGTGTGAAAAACGTCAGCTGAAAAGAAGAGAAAGTCAACAGAAGCCAAACTGAATCCAACATTTACCCAGTGCTATTCTTCATTCAGTATTTATACTTGCAGTGAAAGCATAATGGAATCACATGTGGGAGCGTGCACTGAATTTAGCTGCTTGAGAGAGTATTTTGTTTTTGGGGGTTTTTTGTCCTCCGTGTCTAGACAGAGAAGGCCCTTGGGGAGCTTTGCATGACCATGTGTCTCAGTGTTGCATGTTTTCAAACCATACATGCTTATGCAAGCGTACACGTGAGTGAGTGAGTTTGCATCTCTGTGCTGTTATTTCTGGACAGTGTGCGTTGGAAGAAGAAGGTCTGGAATGTCCTGCAGAGACCAGGAATGTCTGCGGCACTTGACTCAACGGGGCTGCTGCTGATTGAACCGCTCGACGGACAGACAACACCAATCAGGAAAAGCCACGTGTGAAAAGCTAGACAAAGCATGTGTGCTCTACGTTTAGCACCAGGTGTTATAACGCTGACAGACAGTAAGATAGAAATGATTCTGAAAGTGCAAAAGCATACAGAGTTAAAACCGCTAATTCCTTTAACGGCGTGCTGTGCTATCTGTCCCACATCTGGGTGTCTCCTTCAGTGCTCAAGGAGCTTATTTAAAACTCCAACATGTAAGGTTTCCATCAAACAAAGCGACTGTAACACACGTAACATGTGTTTACCACTTTGTTTTTAATGCAAACAATAAGTAAACTAGGGCTTTCTGTATGATTACTTCCAAATAATCCGTTAAATAATTGTTTACTCTAAACAAATAAATAAATGTTGAAACAACAGTCAAAATAAAAGCAGCACAATCAACAATGTGTCTTTATTAATTTTCTGCAGCTTGAATAAAAGATTCATTATTTCAGCTTTTGTTGACTTTTCTCTTGACATAAAGCACAAAATTATTAAAATCGCCAGTTACACAACTGAGTTCCTCAACGATGTTACGAGGGGTTTGAGGAAAAATCTAAAGTGTGAGACAAAAGCACATCTACATACTGTATGGAGAGCCAGAGAGCCAAACTGGGGGAGCTCCAGACCGGGGTATCCACGAGTGAGAGGTCAAAGTTGAGGGGTCAGGAGGCCATCGTCCTGCCCCTGCCAGAGCGGCCCCTCCAGTGACCACAAGGTTTGGGGTCATGAGGCTGGACGTCATCATGCTGGGTGTCAAGCCGCTAGATAGTGGGGCAGGGTGCATCTGAGTAAACTCTGCAAGTTCCTTGGACTCTCTAAAAGGAAACAAGACCCGTTTAATAAAGGGACAACCCCTGAGAAATGAGAAATGAAGGCAGAGTGGAAATGCCAAAAACTTCAGTTTCAAGGACAGCTCCAAAAGAGTCAATCCCAGTGGACTCCCATAATGCATTCGACTTTACAGCAGAAAGAAACCAGTTTACAGTGTGCTACATAAACATTTTTAACCACGTTCATAACAACGGTACACAGTAAGATTTAGATTTTGTTCAGGCTTAAAATTTTGCATTAACAGGAACATGACTTCTTTGACAGACAGGTGGATGCAAACTGGCTACCTGCTCTGTGCTGTATCAGCGAATCTGAGTGGCTGAACTGGACCTCTTCACTAGCATTTTTACTGGAATTAAATCTGTGCTCCAGTTTTGGTGAGTAAAAATTCTAGTCCCTTATTTGTTCCTTCACAGGAATTAGCAGGAGTCTGTGTCGACTGTTCGGGATACAGCTCGTTAGCTGAGCTTGCTCATAAGTTTGAACTCTGCACTGCAAATATGGTCACATGTAGCACCAAACTCACAAAGTGGTGAAAACCACAGAGTTTAAGTCACAAAGCAACAGGTGACACAGTTGATTCTTCCACCCTTTATATACAGGCTAAGATTTTAATTTAATATTGTTTAAAGAAGAGACCTGCAGGTGGCCCAATAGACTTGTTTAACCATGATTCATGACTAATGAGTAACTGGGTTACTAACAATAAAAAATAATAATAAAATAAAAAAAATCAATAGCTGAATTACTTCCCCACCTGAGCACTTTCTCCTGCTCACGTTCGAGCCGGCCAGCCAGCAGTCTGTCATTGTGGTGGCGAGCACGGTCCTCTCCACGTTCTTCATCTACACATTCAGGAAGACGGGAAGAGAGAAAAGGATTCATCATCACATTTTCTTCGATACTACACCATAGAAGAAAATATGATGGGCTATAACAGCCATATTATGCTACCTGCTACAGTGCACTCTACTATTGGACATCTCTCTGGTCTATAGTAGGGATGAAAAAGGAAACTCTGGCAGGTTATAAAGTTGTGCACGATGGGTGACAACAGAGAACAGAAGGGGAAAAATACAAGGTGACAGCGACTAAAGGTGGCACAGCATGTCATAATGAGCAGAGAGGCTACAAAAAAATCATTATGTTAAGCTTCATTCTCCAAACAGAGTGTGTGTGCACACAAACTGTACAAACACACACAGAAATGGAGCGACGGCTCTCACTCCAGCTGCCAGCTCGCATCAATTATTAGTCTAGTGCCGCAGGAGACACGTGAACCTGCCATCGCTGCCTTACTACTGCATACACAGGGCCTTAAACCCATCCTGCTTACTATGAGAGCCAACGGCAAAAGACTGAGGAGGAAGAAAAGAGGAGGAAGGGGAGCAGCACTCAAGCGGGCAACCCAGAATAAACATGAGGGTCTCCTCCTCTCTCCCATTAACCCTTTTCCATCTCATCAACGCTGACTGAGGGTCCCCAAGCAGCAG